CGGTCAAAGAGCCCTAACCCGCCCCCCCCCCTTGCTCTTGACCCCGAGCTGGCTGGGGGCGAGAGGCCAGGGAAGGGCGGGCCCCGCAAGTCCAAACCCTGCTCCTGCTGCCCCCCCCCGTGGGGTGCCTCGGCCAAGAGCCCTAACACGCTCCCCCCCCTGCTCTGGGCCCCGAGCTGGGGGGGCCGCGCGTGACATGGGGAGAGGGGCCGGGGCTGAGCGGGGAGGCGCTTGGTGTCTTGCTGGGGACTCGGGCCCCAGCTGGATATCACCCATTGTTTTATGTCCACGGCTATTCTCTACATTAAAGGGCAACCCAAGAACGACCTGTCCAGCTCGCTCCCCCTCGTCCCCCGTTCACTGTCACCCAGCAGGGGGAGTTGAGTAACCAATAAACAAAAGCGTATCCGTTACTGCTATAGTAACAGGGCTTGACAATTAGTGTAATTACTCGCCCATGGCGAGTAGATTACAAGCCCGCGCAGTGTGCCGAACCGTGTGGCTGGCGAGCAGGGTTTGCCGCTGCTTGGTAAGCCCTGGCTATAGACTCTGTGCATTTCCCTCTTCCCCTCTCTCTGCCAGTACATTTTTGCTCAGTACTGGCTTGCAATGTGTCTAGGACCTACTCCTGCTGTAGCTCTGCCTTTTAAGTTGTAGCTCTGCATTTAAAGTGTATTAGGAGCCAGGTGGGCAGGCATCCTGTCTCAGTTCTGGCTCACATTGGGTCTGGGTGCTCAGACCCTCCCTAGACAGGGCCTGCTGTCACCCCGCACTACTGCCTCTTTCTCAGAAGCAGCAGCACAGGGTGACAGGCAGCAGGGGTGTGAGGAGAGCTGGTTTTTAAACTGGCTCCCCTCGCAGACCAGCTCCCAGCTGGCACCCAGCATTGGTGTCTCTGATACAGTGGCTGCCAGCCCTGCCTCCCAGGACTACAGAATAGTTGACTAACCAATTAAAATGTAACAAGGTTACTTGACTCTTCAATTAACTGATATTTAACATCTCTAGTAGGAGGTTGGGCATGTGGAGTGCTAGCTCTGAGGGGATTCAGGGCTGGTGCAAGAGGGGTTTGGGTGTAGGTTCTGCTGTGTTAGGGTAGTAAGAGTTGCTGCTCCTTCCTGCCAGGGATATGAATGATGAAAGGCCCACATCCCAGCCACCCTTTGATTGGTTAACTGGTTAAAAAAGTATGTTAACTGGTTAACCAATTAAATGGGCTTTTACATCCTTACTCCCTTCAGGGAAAGCTTCTGAGCAGAACACCTTCCAGACATAAGCCTCCTCTTCAGTCCAACCTGCTAGTGCCAGGTCCCCCGGGGATATTCAGGGCACTGCTATGTCTTTCCCTCTCCTTCAGGACAGCCAGGCTGTTGGGAGGCTGCAGAGAACCTCTGAGATTGGTACCAGCCACATTATACCCATCTTCTGGATGACCCCACTGGAGTGGCTGGAGAAAAACATGCACATCTCTGTGTCGGAGTCCTTGAGGCAAAGCCTACCGCTGCCAGCTCTGCAGCAAGATGCAGGCACAAATGTTACCCCTGTCCTTAGCCGCTCTGCAGGCACCTGGATGACTCCCCCAGCACTGCTGGAGAAAAGTACGAACACCTCTGCGGAATGGTCTGTCTGCGCAAAGGATAGTGCAGCAGAAACAGATTCCCTGCTCTGGCAGTAAGTGTCCCTATTATAAGAGCCCTGCATGGAAATAAAACTTGTATCCACAGAAATGAGCTGTGGATTCTGCAGATTCAGATACCTGTGGATATCTGGATTTGCTGGGCTCTACCTGTTAGCTGCAGAAACTTCTGTTACCCAAACACTATGGCAGCGGTTCCCAACCTTTTCCAGATGTGGACCCATTTTGACAATTCTGGAAGACTTGGTAACCCAAGGTAATTAAAAAATGGGGGGAGGAGGGAGGGCAGAGCCACCTGGTGAGACGCTTGGAGACCCTTTTGAAATATAATGGCGACCCATATTTAGGTCCCAACCCATAGGTTGAGAGAACCTGCTCTAGGGGCACCCACCTCTACTAAATTCCTAGGGCTCAAGGCATTCGAATGGCCATACTGGTTCAGACTAAAGGTCCGTCCAGTATCCTGTCTGCTGACAGTGATCAATGCCAGGTGCCCCAGAGGGAGTGAACCTAACAGCTAATGATCAAGCGATCTCTCACCTGCCATCCACCTCCACCCTCTGACAGACAGAGGCTAGGGACACCATTCCTTACCCATAGGCTATGTCTACACTGGCATGATTTTCCAGAAATGCTTTTAACAGAAAAGTTTTCCGTTAAAAGCATTTTCGAAAAAGTGCATCTAGATTGGCATGGATGCTTTTCCGCAAAAGCACTTTTTGTGGAAAAGCGTCCGTGCCAATCTAGACACGGTTTTGCGCAAAAAAGCCCTGATCGCCATTTTAGCCATCTGGGCTTTTTTGCGCAAAACAGCACTGTGCTGTCTACACTGGCCCTCTTGCGCAAATCATTTGTGCAAGAGGGCTTTTGCCCAAACGGGAGCAGCACAGTATTTCTGCAAGAACACTGACAATCTTACATGAGATCGTCAGTGCTCTTGCGGAAATTCAAGCGGCCAGTGTAGACAGCTGGCAAGTTTTTTCCGCAAAAGCACCTGCTTTTGCAGAAATAGTCAGGGCTTGACAAACAATGTAATCTACTCACCTGTGGCAAGTAGATTACACCCCGGAAGAGCCGGCACAGAGCGATCTGCGCATGCGCAGAGCACAGAACTCTGCGGCTGGCGAGTTG